TACTTATACACAGGGAGACAGCTCAGGGGACAGGAGCCCATGGAGGGATGGACACTGGGAAGAGGTAACTATGGGGAGGAAGTGGGAGGGGAGCTGTTTCATTGTGGTAAATTGTGGTCAATGTCATGAGACAAAATATATGTGAATCGCTGTATGGAAAGTAAATTTGCTCTATAAACCTTCACCCAAATCATAATTGAAAAAAAAAAGAATATGACTACCAGGAAAGAAAAAATTAATACAAGTGTTAGAATATAAAGTCCTTTCAAGGAAGTTTCCCAGAAAAATAGAAGAGAAAATCAAAGAGATGTGAAAATTTGGAGAGAAAAGACACTAAAAGAGTCAGCTCAGGAAGTCCAAATGTAACACACAGCAGGAGTTTTAGATAGAGAAAACAAGAGGAAAAATGGGGAGAAAGTGATTGAAACCCTGGGGTTGAAGTGCATTCCTTATTGCTGCTTAGGCTGACAGGTTCTGAAGATTGCTTAAACCCCTTTTAAGTCCGAAATCAACTCCATGGCAGTGTATTTTTCAGTGGGACCATCTTAACAGCCACAACGTTTTCCCACCAACTTTCTCCCTAAAGCATGTGCCTACCTGGGGAGAAGGTTTTCGGTAGAAGTGCTTAAGCTGTTCATAAGGCAGAGGGAGTTGCTGGCGTTGGTACATGATATGCTTTATAAGTTCACAAGTAAACCGGCAGCAGCCTTCCTGGCTCACAGGCCCGGGAAACACTACAGGCACCATGCAGTCTCTGGGGCAAAAATGTTCCGAAGGGTTAAAAGGTACTTGATCGGAGGTAGTCTCGAGTAGTTCCATCTGGGGGACGTGGGTCTCCTCCGCCTTCTCAAACCATTCCAAATCTGGTAGGTGAACAGAGTAACAACAACCAAAAAAAAAAAAACAGCTTCAAGGTCAAAGTCAGTCTTCTTCATTCCCTTAGGGCAACTATATCATGAATGCAAAGGGGGCACCAGTACACACACACTCCCTCCACAACCTCCAGTGTGGTCCGTGGCGGGGCGATTCCCCATCCCCCTAGCCTAAGATGTGGGGGGATGTTCAGAGACAGTGACTGAAGCTCCGGCCGCAGAGCGGCAGGCCATACAGGTCTGGGGATAACTCAAAATAAACTGTAGGCAAGTGGGGTTGAGAATGCTGAGAGGAAGGGGATAAACCGAGAGGAACTAGGGCCGTGGAGGCGAGGCAGTCACTCACTGTCACAGAACCAGAGCGGGGCGGGTTGCCAGGCAGTGGGTGACAAGTGACAGGCAGGAAAAAGGGCCAAGGGCTAAGTGACTTAAGGGAGAAGCAGTCGATAAGAAATGGGTCCCTAAGGCTCCTTGAGCTCCGGACCCCACGCCTTACCAGGGACTGCAACCGCGGACAGCACTTCCGGCACCAGCGCCGCCATCGCGACCTCCTTCCTCTTTGCCGTGCAGTTTGAATGGGTGCCCCGCGGGGCTTCATGGGAAGCCTGCGCCTCCACTTCCGGATTGGCTGGGCGGGAAGAAGGCAGTATGAGAGGGTGGACAAGGGTGGGAATTGAGTGAGCCCTGTTCTCCCATACTAGGAGCTCTGGTAGAGTAGTGCCTCAGCCATTTGACTGCTAACCAGAAGGCTGGCGGTTCAAACCCACCAGCCACTCCTCGGAAGGAAGGTTGGGCAATCTACTTCCGTAGTGATACTGCCTAGGAAACCCAAGGAGGGGTCGCTATGAGTTGAGTCCGACTAGATGGCAAATAACAACAACGTTCTCCCATACTAAGGAGCTGTGGTGGCAAAGTGGTTAGTGCTTTCGGTTGCTAATCGCTCTGCAGACGAGACACTCTGACTCTGTAAAAATGTACAGCTTTGGGAACCCGCTGGGGCAATTCTTCCCTGTCCTAATGGGTCACTATGAGTCAGAATCCACTTTATGGCAGTGGTTTTGTTTTTGTTTCATCCCTCCCTAAGAAGCCATGGTGGTGCAGTGGTTAAAAGTGCTTGGCTGCTAAGTGAAATGTTGGCAGTTCTAGGCACCAGCTGCTAGACAGGAGAAAGATGTAGCAGGCTGCTCCCTTCAAGATTACAGCTTTGGGAAACTTATTTGGAAAACTATTCTGTCCTATACTGTGGCTGTGAGTTGGAATCCACTGGACAGCAGTGGGTTTGGTTCTTGGTTCTCCCTCCCTAACACCCTTGCATGGGCATGTAGCACCTCCTCTCCCTGTGAAGAGCCACTGCTTGCCACCTCCCAAAGGACATCTGCCCTCTATTCACTGCCTGTGTTTACCATTCACTGGGCATCTACTTTGTGCCAGGCCCTATCCTATGTGCTGGAGACTCAGACACTAGATGCTGACCCTGTTCTCATGGGGTTCATTACCTTTAGGTCCAATACAGTGTGATGAATTATACACTAGAGCTGTGTACATGGGCCGTTGAAGCAACCAACAGGGATGTCTAACCCAGATGGGATAAAGACAGGATGGTTCCAGAGGAGATGGTTGCTAAGGAAGCTGTGAACCCTAGGATGGGTAAACTAACCAGGCAAAGAGGAAGGCCTCCTGTTCCAGAAGACCTTAAAAAACAAGAGCACCCTCTGTTCAAGAAATGAAAATAGCATAGATTATAGAGAGTGAAAGCTGGAGTGGACAAACAGAAGGCAGATCATGGCAGGGCCTTATAAACCAGGTCAAAAAGTTGAATGTGATCCTTGGGGGAGGTGGAGGTTTGAAGGTTCTAAGTAGGGAGACACATGATTATATTTTATCAATTTAATCTCTACAGTGGCTACATTGGATTACAGAGAGGATACAAGAATAGGCAGAGATACCAGTTGCAGACAGTGACTGCAGTTACTCAAGTGCATTGTTAAAGAGGTCTGAACTAGGGAAGTCACAGGGGGGTGGAAAGAACTTGGTGAACTCTAGAGATACTTAGTAGGTCCAGTGAACATAATACGGTGGTTGATCTGAGGAGAGAGCTAGAAACCACCAGGAAAACAAGCAGGTTTCGAACTTCAGCAACTGTGTGGCCAGCGGTGCTAGCTAATAAAAGAGGAAACACTAGAAGAGGACCAGTTTTTTTGGGGTGGGTGAGGTGAAAAGATGAGTTCATTTTTTTATAATGACGGCTGAGTTTGATGCCTTCATTGGACCATGAAGAGAGAGATTCAGGAAAGCCATTTGGAATAGAGATATGTATTTGGAGTATGTTAAGCTGAGTTCTCTAGTATTTGAATAATTTATTTCAAAAAGATCAGCACAGGACTGGACCTAATGAGGAGAAGATTAAAGATGTCCCAAATTTCCAAACTGCTGTAGCACTCCATCATCTATAACACCAACTACTACTTCTCCCCTCAGTACTCTCCCTCCTGTCTTAGGGTTCCATATTTCAATATAACATCTCACAGAACTCATGAACTGCCAAAGAAATGGCTCATGTGATTGTAGAGGCTGGGAAGCCCCAAATCCGTGTGTCAGGTGGCCTGGAGGATTTTCATGTTGTTGCAGGGCTAACACACCCAAATTGGCAGTTCAGACGACTGGCTATTGCCTCAAATCCCAAGACTGGGGGTGAGATGATGATGCAGGATCCAGAGCAAGAGAGAGAACTTTGCCAGAGCATTCATATATATATAATCTCAAGAAAACCAAGGGTGGTGACTTGAGTCACACCCTCTAGTAAGTCTGCACCCTCTAGTAAGTCTGGCAAGATACATCCCACCCTACTCTTGCCTCATTCACATAATGGACAGCTCACCCCAAAATGGGACGATAACCAGAGGCATAGGAGCTAGGATTTACAATACATCACAAAATGCAGGACTATCGCTAGAAGGACTATATTAAGTACTTCACTGCACTGCATCCAGAGAAGGAAACCAATGAAGCTTATATATATATGTACATATGTAGAGACATAGAGAGGGAGAGAATTATCTCAGAAACTAACTCACAAGGTTGTAAAGGCTGGCAAGTCTTTACCAAGTCTGTAGATCAGCTGGAGGCTTCTCTTGACTTATGTAGCTACAGAGGCTGACAAACCCAAGATCTGCAGGTAAGATGGCCTACTCTTGGCTCACAGGCTTTGTAGGTAATAAATCTCAAGATCACCAGGCAATCTGGTAGGCCATTGGCTCAAGTTCAAAGAACCAGAGGTCGGATGATGACAAGACAGATGCAGAATCCAGATTGAGCAAAAAGCCAGTTTTGCCAGGACATTTATATATATTGGAAGCAAGCCACTCCCTGAGGAAACTCCCTTTCAACTGATTGACTGCTCAAGCAGATTTCATCATGGAAGTGATTACATTGTATCAGATCTCATCATGGGGGATGATTACATCATAACTGCTAAACTACTAAGAATCATGGCCCAGCCAAGTTGACAACCTTAACCATCACAGAGTTATCAGCTGGGCATAGATAAAATCACCCAGAGAGATTGTATAGAATGAGGATGTGTAGAGCCAGGATCCTGCAGATAGGAATACTTACTTAGGGGATGAGCAGAGAAAGAGAAGAACCCATAGAGTTAGACTGGGTTCTCTAGCGAAACAAAACCAGTAAAGCTTATATATATATATAGAGAGAGAGAGACAGAGAGACAGAGAGAGAGAAATTTATCTTAGGAAAATGGCTTACACATTTATAGAAGCTGGCAAACCCAAAGTTCTTGGATCAGACGTCAAGCTGGAGGCTTTTCCTGACTCTTGCAGCTGTAGGGGCTGAGGAGCTCAAGGTTGGCAGGCAGTGTACTAGCTGTTGACTTCAATGAATGACGAATTCAAGATCTCCAGGCTGAATGGTGGATTGTTTGCTCACGGACAGTTGCAGGCAGCACAACAGAATCCCAATCCATAGAGGAATGTCTCTTTTCCCAGGATGTCCATAGATATGCTAGAAGCAGGCCACACCCCTAGCGAAACTCCCTTTCAACAGATTGGTTGCTCAAAACATAATCATCTAATCCCATCATGGGAATAACCACATCACAATAGCTTAAACCACACAGAATTGTGGTCCAGCAAAGTTGACACACAGCTCCAACTATCATAGAGACCAAGAAGTAGCTGTTGTTGTTGTTGTCAGGTCCAACTCATAGCAACCCTACGTACAACAGAAGAAAACAATGCCCATTCCTGTGCCATTCTCACAATTCTTGCTATGTTTGAGTCCATCATTGCAGCTACTATGGCAATTCATCTCATGAGGGTCTTCCCCTTTTTCACTGGCCCTCCACTTTACCAAGTATATCCTTCTCCAGAGACTGGTCACTTCTGACAACATGATCAAAATAGGTGAGACAAAGTCTGGCCATTTTCAGTTATAAGGAGCATTCTGGCTGCACTTCTTCCAGGACAGATTTGTTAGTTCTTCTGGGAGTTCATAGTATTTTCAGTATTTTTCACCAACACCACAATTCAAATGCATCAATTCTTCTTGGGTCTTCCTTATTCATTGTCCAGCTTTCACATGCATGTGAGGCGACTGAAAATACCATGGCTTGGGTCAGGTACACATTCATCCTCAAAGTCTTTGCTCTTCAACACTTCGTGGGTGTTGATTGTGGATCCAAGTAAAATGAAATCTTCTGACAACTTCAATCTTTCCTCCATTGATTGTGATGTTGCTTATTGGTCCAGTTGTGAAGATTTTTTGCTTTCTTTATGTTGAGGTGTAATCCATATTGAAGATTGTAGTCTTTGATCTTCATCAGTAAGTGGTTCAAGTTATCTTTACTTTCAGCAAGCAAGGTTGTGTCATCTGCATATCTCAGGTTGTTAATGAGTCTTCCTCCAATCCTGATTCTATGTTCTTCTTCATATAGTCCAGATTCTTAGATTATTTGCTGAGAATACAGACTGAATAAGTATGGTGAAAGGATACAAGCCAGATGCACGCCCTTCCTGATTTTAAACTTTGTTCTATTTGAATGAGAGCTCCTTGGTCTATGTATAGGTTCCTTCTGAACACAAGTATGTGTTCTGAAATTCCCATTCTTCACAATGTTATCCATAATTTGTTATGATCCACACAATCAAATGCCTTTGCATAGTTAATAAAACACAGGTAAACAACTGAGAAGTAACTAGAGAAGTATTGGGGGGGGCGGGTAAATAAAAGGCAAGTGTTGTATCACAGAAGCCAAGAAAAGAGTGTGTTTCAGAAAGTAGAGACCAAAGATCAAAATATACCTTAAAAGTAGTGATTAAAATAGTGTGGTGTTTACTCAGGAATAAACAAACAAATCTATAAAACAGAAGAGAGTTCAGAAACAAACCTATGTATATGTGGATCACAGTATACATGATGAAGGTTCCTCTTCAAAGCAAATATAAATTTAGTTCCTACCACACACCCCACATAAAAGTAAATTCCATATGAATTAAAGATCTAAACATAAAAAGAAACCTTTAAAGCTACTAGAAAAAATACTGAAGAATAATTTCTTATCTAGGAGTTGGCCTAAGGAGCTCTGGTAGCATAGTGGATAAGGTATTTGGCTGCTAACCAGAAGGTCAGTGGTTCAAACCCACCAGACACTTTGTGGAAGGAAGATGGGGCAGTTCTGTAAAGATTTACAGCCTTGGAAACCCAGTGGGGGTCATTAGGAGTCGGAATTGACTCAGTGGTGGTGAGTCTGGTTTTTTTTTGGAGGAGTTGGCCTAGGTATGATGACCCTTAACAAAAAACAAAAAACATATAGAAAAAGATTGCTAGGCCTCAGTTTAAAAGTTATGTAAAGGCAGAGTATACAAAATTAACTATACACTAGAAAAGTGTTTGCAGATGTTTAATATCTATGATCTACATAAACATTACATACACACATATATATAATCTCCCATAGCCAACCACCTCATGTTGTTGTTGTTATTTGCCATCGAGTCAGCCCCGACTCATAGCGACCCCTCCTTGGGTTTCTGAGGCAGTATCACTAGGGAAGTAGGAATGCCCAACCTTCCTTCCAAGGAGTGGCTGGTGGGTTTGAACCGCCAGCCTTCTGGTTAGCAGTCAAGTGCCTTAGGCACTATGCTACCAGAGCTCCTACCAACCACCTCATAGGTATCTCATAAGCAATCCCTTCAGGAAACTGAATATATATACTGTCTTCCACCTTCCAGGGCCCTGATCTCCTGGGATAGACATCCCGGTTCAGCCTGCTCCTTCACCAGCCTTTATGGATGTCTGTGGTAGGTCAGGCTGTTCAAGAATAGGCTATCAGACTAGCCTATTCCTATCTCATATAAGAATGTCTCTACTTAGGGGGCAAGGAATTTGAGATAGAGGAGGGGAAGTGGTACACATTGGTTGGTTGAAAAGATCTATGTAGATGAGAGGACAAGTGTTATCAGGCAAGTGCAGCAGCCTGTGGTTATCAGGAGGGCGCAGCTAGGACTGGTGAAAATATTGGGGAAATGGTTTTAGCTCTCTCTTCCAATCCCCAACCTTTTTAAGATCTCTCACTGAGTTCTCCTGTCTGTCTCTAAGCAGCTGTTTCCCTGGTGGGGTTGTGCCCTTGGCTAGGTTGACCTCTGCAGTACAGCCCTTCCCTCAAACAGAAGTCACAGGATGTGCTTTTAACCCCTGAAGATGCACAGAATTGGCTGACTTGGACCAATTTTGCAGATTTTGGCCCTTCGAGATTTCAGTGCTTTGATGAAATTATGACACATGGTCAGCAACTTAATGATCAGCCTCTCTCCTGTGGCCCTGGGGCAGAACCATGGAGTCCACTAAGTCTGAACCCTTGATGGGATCACCAGAGGTAAGCCACTGTTGCTACTTTCAGTTTTCCCAGGAAAACTGAGGTCTGGAGGGGAAGAATTTTATTTTTTGGTTATATATGAGCGAGCACCTCACTGTTTGTGAAGAGAGGGGTAGTGAATGGTGAGTCATGAGACAGTCACAGGGCTGGAAATTGAACCCTGGCGTCCTGACTCCCAGCCTAGCAGTTAACCGGTTCTCAAGCCTGCCTTTCTGATGTGTTGTGCACTGGTTTATGTCGTTGTATGTGTTTACTCTTTGCTGACTGCTAAAGCCCTAAAGAGTAGGATAGGAAGAGATGGCTTGGCAAGAAAGTCAAAAGTCAACAACCTTCTGGGGCCTTTGGCCAAGTTTCTATTTCTAGCCACTACCCCTGCCTTCACCCGGGTTGATGTAATTGGAGCCCCAGTCCCGCCCTAAGTATAGGTCAAGCACCTCCTACAGCCCTAGCTGTTTTAAAATCGACGTCGGTTCTCCGCCATTGGTTCCGCTTCAAAACAAAGGGGAGGGGCGTATTCGCTGAGGGCATCCTTGTAGCCCACAGGCATCAGGGCTGGTTTATGGGTTCAAAGGCCTCATGTTGGGGCCACCGCGGTGCCTCCGGCTGCTGAAACCAGCCCCTTGACAGTGCCAGCTCTAGTAATAAAGCAGTGACTACTGTGTAAAGGTGGCATAATCATCGCAACAGTAACAGTCGTAATTAGGCTAACCACCATCCGCCTCCGCCCTGTCATTGGCTCTGACTCACCCCGACGGCACGCCGACCATCAGGGAAGAAACTGAGGCAGAGGCGGGGCCGGCAGACTGGGAGGACTCAGTCGCCCTTAATTCAGCAGCGCTCCAGATCCGAAACCTGTTGCTGGGATTCGCGTTAAGGGGCCAGACCCAGAAGCTCGCACAAAGCTCTCCTGATGTAGTAAGGCCTTCACCGCCCGTGCCCAACTCCGCCATAAGCTTCGAGGTTCTAAACTCCCCTCAGGCCCTAGACTTCCTCCAGGTCCTAGGAAAAGAGTCGCTCGGACAGTGGGGACTAAGAGCCAGACTTCAACTCTCTTGGCCTTTGCAAGCAAAGGCGCGCTCCTTGCCTACACCGCGAAGCCACCAGCGACCTCTTGCTCGGAGATGTCTCCTGGGAGTTGTAGAGCAGCGACGTGCTTTTCCGACCTAGCCCCCAGACCTGAGGACTCTATATCCCGTGGTGCCGCGCGGCTGTTTCTGACGCGACCCGGAGGCCATGGGAGGGGTGTGGGGGTGTGGCCTGCTCAGAGCCCCACCCCACTCTCTGGCTGGCCCGACGCGGTGGTGGCAGTAG